CGCCTGGACCTGGGTCGGGAGGGAAGAAAAGACCTTCCTTCGAGAGCTCTTCGTTCAGAAGTTCCCATCCCACTGCTGGTTGAACCACGACATCCATATCGTCCTTGTGCAGCCTTATAATCTTGTCCATGCGGCTGAAGTCGATACATATGCCACCCTTTGTTGCTGCGAAGTGACCCTCTAAACTTGTGCCTCCACTGTACGGAGTGACTGGTATCTTGCGTTCGTGGCAGACCTTCATGATCGCGCTGACTTCTTGTGTGCTGCCTGGCTTCACAACGCAGAATGGCACATCGCCTGGTTGAGAAGGATGCGAAGACCACGACGATCCGCTGTGCGACTCTAGATCGTTGGGATCCAGTGTAAGATTTTCCTTTCCGACAATGTCACGGAAGTCTGTCCACGCTGCTTCCATGTTTGCCTCTGAGATATTGTGCTTGGGAGGATTGAAGGTCTCGAGCGGTGCGGTCGAACTCGTGTCTGGGGTAGGAGGAATCATCTGCCCATAGTAGTAGCCGATGCTTGCGGTCATAAGACATGCTACTCAACCATTAGTATGCGCGACAACTGAGGTGTATGAACTGTTGGTACCAAATACCGTGGCAAAGAATTGTCCTCTTGCCGTTCTTTGCTGTAATGACTGAATCTGGATCTGTTCGGCCTTCTCTTTCTGTACACGCTCGTAGATACTCTCATTGAGTTGCAGGTAGAATGGCTTCTCGTCCTCCCTGCCCATCGGTTTTCTTTCACTCGCCCATCTTCTCTGCGTTATTCTTCCGACTCCCGCACCAGCTCCGCATGTCCGCCATAGCGCTCCTCCGGTTGCGCCTCTTACGGCGAATGAGCCTCGTGGCAGGCTTCGTAGAGGCATTGCGACTACAATTGACGGTGATTCATGTCGTAGGCGTCGATGCGACAAAAGCGGGGAAAGCTTTGCATGTGAGCTGAACGATGATGATGCGCGGGTAAATCCCGGACTTAAGAGACCGCCAAGAGTTCTGTATGCACGTCGCAACCAGTGATGAGCATCCTATGTGGTTGTGGAGAAGCGTTCATGCGTAATCTCATACCGAGCAATTACTGGCAGAGATCACGACATCGGGATATGTTAGAAAAGATGCGTCATCATGTGTAAGCCTGCCAAATTACGACATGGCGAACAAAGCAAGCGTCACATGTGGTCGATGAAGACTCGATAAGGATAGAATGCATTTGAGAAGCTCAATGGTCGATACCAGAGCGTGTTATACCGAAAGCAAACCCAGTCGCCGTACCCAAGTTCTCGCAACGCCGCCAGACACATAGTGCTGGTCTCGAGAAAGGTACCCAGAGCGTATCCAACGCCTGTGCATATTCAAGTGATGAGTGTGTAAGGAATAGTGAAAAGCAAATAAACAAAGCAGGTCTCTATCAATGCGCCCGAAGGTAAATGCCGAGTCTCTGCATGTATCATGAAAAAGGCCGTGATCCTAAACCGAACGCCATGCTAAAAGCACGAAATAATATATGCACGAAGAAATGGGGTATAAGGATGAGATGCAAGACCAATCTGCTCAAGTGTCGGGCCAAGTGAGAGGGGTGTGTAGGGCATCGGGGTTAGAGGTAGTGGGGTGGCACCTAAGGCGATTGCTTACGCGGCTAGGCTGTCCACATCCGGTGCGCGTGTCTGTGGCGGTGCATGCGGCCTACTTTCCAGACATGCGCAGCAGTCGAGTCTTGAGCCAGATTACGAAACGCTGCCACGTACCCTTCGCGGCTCGGCTTTTGGTGACCTTCGGCGTAGAGGAAAAGGCGGCTGCTTTTTCGGGGTCGACGGTTGCCACAAGCTTTGGCAGTGAGTTGGAGTGCGCCTCCCGGTGGTCTGAATATTGGCGTCCACCCACTGAAGGGCGTCCGGCTATCGAAGGCCGTGGCGTCTTTTCATAGTCGGTGGACACAGTGCGCGTGCGATTTATCTCTGATCGGTCGAGCGTCTCTGACTTACGCCGCTGGTGATCCTCCTTCTTCTGCTGCTTGCGATAGTCGCGTTCCTGCTGCTTGTGTGCCACCTTTTCGTACTTTCGCTCCTTGGCACGCTGCTCCTCCTCGAACTTCTGTCGCGCAGCACGAATGGAGGCAGCTCTCGAGGCTGGGTCTACGGGGGAGTCACGGCCGCCGCGGATAAAGCGGTAGGTCTGATCGAAGGAGGTACGCGAACTGGGCGAGGTGGTGTCGATGGACTTGAGCGTGTCGCCACGCGCCCTGGGTTGGGCGACCGGAGAGGTGAGCGAGACGGACGACTGGGAGTAGCTGCCAGCAAGGCGGGTGGACGAGTTGTTGGTGTGGATGCGTAGGGATGTTCCCTGTGCCGAGGAGATGGAACCGGATCTGCGCGCGGGTTCATACGCGGTTTGTCTCAAGCGGAACTCATCGTCCGACATGATATCATCGCCCTCGTGCTCGCTCCCGAGAATTGATGGCGGCGACGAGTGGGCTATTGGCGGTGTGTATGGCTGCGGAGTCTGGCGGATGGCAGGCAGGGGCGTCGGCCGCTGCAGACCAGACGACGAGGAGAACTGCGAGGTGTTGGAGGTGGAGCGGTTGTGTCGGTGGCGGCCGTTGACAGGCGAAAAAGAAACATCAGATATGGACCGTGAATGGGCGCCATATTCTGAGATACCCAGACCGGTGAGGTCGTTCTCGGCGGCAGGGCGCGATAGATCGAGCCCGCTGGTCTCCTTGGACGAGAGCTTGCGCAGGTAGGGCTTGATCTTGAGCTGGTGGGAGGAAGTCGCAGACGGCATGGGGCGTTGTGTCTCTATCCAGGACTCTTCGTAGACTTTGAGCGTGTCTGAACGGTTAAAGGTAACGACGTCGTAGTCAGCAACGGGGCTCAGAGGGCGCGAACTCGACACAGCGGAGGCGGAGTATCCTCGTTTGTGGAGACGCGCATGCCGGTTGGACATGTTGGGCGGGATGCTCGCGCGTGTTATCGGCGCATGTCAAAGTACGCTGTAAGTAGGCCAGGAGAGATCGGCGGCGGGTGGTTGTGATATCACCAAGCCAACGTCAAGACTCCGAATGGTTCCGCGGCTGTCAAGGTGACGAAATGTCAACTCGTGGGCGCGCGGCCCGCTGTTGATGGATGATCCGGGGCAGTTCCAAGCTTGACGACGGTTTCCTCTAGCCGGCAGACGCTTCCTTGGTTGCTGGGACTGGTCCGACTAGGGGCGCTGCACGCTGCGAACGCTCAGTCCAAGACGGCCCCAGCTCTAAGCGCCTAGACGGCTAGGCGGTGGGTGAGTAGGTGAGAGAGATTTACGTTGCCGGGAGTAATGAGAAGAGCATCACCGCTCAAACGTAGCCGCCTACGGCGATTAGGGACGCGGGTGCTTATATGCTCTTCTAGTAGATGCAGCATAGTGGAGGTAGGAGAGGAGACCGGGTGAAGCGGAATCGCCGCCTGCTTGGAGTGAGATAGCAATATGACTGGCTGGGACGGCCTCACCGCTCGTGAGCCACGGAACAGAGTGCTACCGTGCCGTCCGACGATATGCTTCCTACTCCATCTCGCTCCTCTTTCGCCCCGCTCGCATCCCGTCGCGCAGCAACAAACCGCGCAATGAGTGGCACAGCAGCTCAGAACGCGCAGCACTTCATCACGAGAGGCCACGAGTCGATTCGAGGCGCGGAGAAGCTGCAAAGCTGAAGCTGGCCTAGATGCACGACTCAGCCATACAAGTGCTCTGCCCATCGTGGAATTGGCTGATATCTCACGACACTCCGCTTCCAAATTACCCCGCGCGCCATGTCCCAACCTTGCAAAGTACTAAACCTGGTTCTAGCCCAAGCCACAGCAGAGATTCAAGGCTGTTATCAACGCCGCATGACGAGAGAAGGCCTGGCCCACAAAAGCCCTCAAGTACCTCCTCACGTGCGCGCTATTTCACCGCGGCCCGCTTGAAACACCCTGGGATGAAACACCTCTTTTACCCCACACTCTTGTCCAACCATCTCATCTCTAACACTTTCAATCGATACCATACGTGCACCATCTCTCGGCTTTGAGAATCAAGTATGTATGGCTACACCCATGCGGAGAAGAACTATGATACCTCTGGCCGCCCTTGCACCAACAGCATACACCTTGAAACCCTAGAGTCTTCACGCTACGCATATCGGAAGCCAACACGCGTTCCGCTATCAGCGATGCATCACATTGGAAAGACATCACCTTGTATGATACGATCATGAGGAAAGACGTCTTATGCCCTATTGAAATCATATCAGAATGCTGCGTGTAGTGCATTCTTGACAACCCTCTTTTCTTAATTGTGTCACTACGCGATGCGCTAACATTCAACGCGGTGCCACAATATTGGACGCGTTTCGAGCATCGAGAAGATGACGGATGTGCTTGAGAGTAGTCAGCATCTGAATTGGTTTAGGCTCATCGAAAAATTTGTATTCGATAGTGCTGCAGGGCAGGTTATGGTTTGCCCGACAAGAGGCGTTGGATATGCGTGAGAGAACATGTAGTGGTAAGAGTTTGTGAACATGCACATGGGAGTAGAATCGCCATAGCCAGTTCTTTGTATGCGGTGTTGCTATTCTTTGGCCCGGCTACCTAGGTAGTTTGCTGTCAGGGTGAGAGAAAGTCCCGGCGTTGCTGGGCAATGAACAAGGCCCACCCTGACGTCGAGCACGGGTCGCAACTTCCCTACCAACATCAAAAACATCTCAGCACCATCTTCATCCACCACGCGCGTCCCATGGAGTTATAACCATCCCAACCAGCCACCGACCGCATCCATCACTTTTAGACTCCTCGAGTGATCGCGACCATGTCGTCCAATAAGCGGGGCAACATTTTTGACCAGGGGAGGCCCGAAAACCCCTACGAGGATCGCGATGATGTCGCGGATGTGCCCCAGAAGGCGACGGCAGCACAGCTGGCAGCCCGCAAGTAAGTCACCTTCGCCAGCCATCATTGGAGTCTACCCCAGACCTCTCTAGTCACGATGCGCTTTGTCCGTCGCGTGCTGACTCTTTGTCCCCCAGAATCAAGACCGCGAAAGCCCGACGACCAGCAGGCGCCACCTCCGTGAGTACCCCAACCACAACACCACACTCTCCACCGCACCCCCGACGGCTGCGCAAGCATGTCGAACAGCCGCCACACCCCGAAAGGGCGACGCGAGTTGCAACGCAGGATGCAGGCCTTTGCTAACGCACGCGCTCACCAGGGTCTATCACAGAGCGCGAACTTTGGCGCACCACAACAAAACGCCTTTGGCTTCGGTGCCTCAACGCCCGCCCCCGCGAGCAACGGCGCGAACGGCTTCGGCGGCGGCAATGCTTTCGGCGGCGGCGCGACCAACAGCTTCCCGCCCGCGCAGTCCGCTGCCCCGAGCAACAACTTCGCTGCCTCGTCCTTTCCAGCATTCGGAGGGAGCAACCAGGGCACAGGCTTCAACCCTACACCGCCCTCGTCTGCGGGCTTCAACTTCACAGCCGGAGGTGCAAATCCATTCGCGACGGCCAACTCGGGACCCGCGACCAATGGCAGCACGCCTGCGCCCGCATTTGGGGGATCGTCCACGTTTGGCAACAACGACCAGGCGCAGAGCAATCCCTTTGGCGGCCTAGGCCAGAACAACACCACAAGCGCACCCTCATCAGGCGGTATGTTCGGTACTACCAGTTCAACCCCCACAGGCGGTATGTTTGGGGCGTCCAGCGCTGCGCCTACTGGAGGCATGTTCGGAACATCGAGTGCTGCACCATCATCAGGAGGCATGTTCGGTACATCCACCGCCGCTTCTTCCGGTGGTATGTTTGGTACATCCAGCGCTGCGACCTCAGGTGGTATGTTTGGCACATCGAGTGCTGCCCCCGGTGGCATGTTTGGTACCACCAGCGGCGCCCCAAACGCTACGAGCACCTCCGCTCCCGCATCCACACCCTTCACATTCGGTGCCGCACCGACGACAGCCTCGAACACCACGAGTACGCCCGCGACGAGCGGTATCTTCAGCGGATTTGGCAACTCAACACAATCAACGGCGCCTTCACAACCAAGCACGTTCGGTGGGTTTGGTGCCAATGCGCAGAAGGAAGATGCCTCCAAGCAGGCGGCTGCGCCCCAAAACAACATGTTTGGTGGTTTCGGTTCCAACGCACAGAAGACGGAGGGTACCTCGGAAACGCCGAAGCAGAACAACTTCTTTGGAGGCTTGGGTACGAGTGCGCAAGGCACGCCAAATGCTACGGCCACCGCTCCTGCGTCGAATCTATTCAACTTCGGCGCGAGTGCGCAGAAGTCTGACAGCACGACGTCAAGCGCACCTCCGACAAACCTCTTTGGATCTGCTTCATCCAGCAATCCGTTCGCAAACCTCCCGACCGCCGAAAACAAGTCGTCCGGAGCAGCTGCACCAACCAACCTGTTCAGCAGCCTCAAGAAGCCTGAAGAGTCCGGCAGCAGCCCTTCTGCCGATACCCCCAAGTCCAACCCGTTCGCGGCACTTCCCAAGCCAGCCGACACACCTACCACTACAGGAAGCAGTTCAGGTTTCAGCATATTTGGTGCCAACAAGGATGCGGGCGCAGCAACTGTGAAGGCTCCCGAAGCACCAAAGTCAAATCTATTCCAGCCGTTCAGCACACCACAGCCAGCGAAGACAGCCGACGTGGAGAAGTCTCAAGGTGGCATGTTCACTGCTGCTCAGCCCAAAACCAGCTCTGGCCTCTTTTCCCAAACGTTCCAGCCCGAGAGCAACAATTCCAGCAATTTGTTCAAAAAGCCGCAGTCAAGCTTTGCCCCGTCATCAACATCAGCATCAGAAACGCCCAAGGCTGCACCTGAGGCTTCCAATCCTTTTGCCTCCTTGCCCAAACCTTCGACAGACCGTCCCAACTTCTTCAGCGCTTCGAAGGAACCCTCGCAACCCTCCCCTGCGCCGGCCACATCGATCTTCAACGGTACCACCCCTGAGTCGACTGGAGAATCGCAGGCGCCTGAAATGCCCAAGGTTCCCAAGGTGCACGTCCCCAAAGACTGGGCTGTTCCAGGTGCCGTTCGCGCGCAGAGCAGCGATGGCCTACTGAAGCAGATATCCGATCTGACTGCTCAACTGCAAATGTTGAACGAAAAGTACCGACAACAGCTGAGCAACCTTCCTCCCACGGCAGACTGGTCGAGTGTGTCCCTTTGGCACTACCAGCATGCGGTCGACATTAAGAAGAAGATCGACAACGTGAAGAAGCAACGTGCAGCCGGACGAGGTATCACCGGCAATGAATCAAGCTTGTCCACGAAGCGCAAGGTCAACGATGACAGCCACGAAGTCCGCGATCCATCCCCTTCCAAGCGAGCTCGTGCGACGGAAGTATCTTCTGGTCCGACTCCGCAGCTCTCGGCTTCTACACCGAAGCTCAATGCCCCAGCTACGGCGACATCAAACATGTTTGCCAAGGCGATCGGAAACAAGCCATCTGCACCTGCGGCAGCGTCATCGACAAGCCTGTTCGCCCCAAAGACAGCTGAAAAGCCCGCCACCGAGCCCTCGCAACCAGCTGCATCAAGTACCGGTTTCGGTTTCAAGCCCTCAGTTCCCACCACTAACGGTGCAGAAACTGCGGCAGCCCCATCCGGCTTCAAGCCAAGCTTCGGTGCTTCCTCCACCAGTACATCGGGCTCTACTGGCTTCAAGCCGAACTTCGGCAGTGCTCCAGCAGGCGGCTTCATGGCTCAGTTCACCAAGACCGCGAAGACTTACGAGGAACTCGCCGCAGAACGCAAGAAGAAGGCTATGGACGAGGACTACGATTCGGACGATGAGACCAAGGAGGAGTGGTCTGCCAGGTACGACAAAGCTGAGGCTGAGCGCCTCGCAAAGGAGAAGGAGATTGCTGCCTCGACTAAATTTGTGTTACCTGGTAGTGCTTCTGGCAGTACTTCACCCAAGGAGAATCCGTTCACTGGACTTTTGAAGCCTAAGAGCGGAGTTTCCACTCCCAAAGCTCCCAGCCCGGCGCCGTCTACAGGCAGTCAATCGGTCTTCAACGCCTCCACGTCGCAAGCATCATCCCCCAATATCTTCGGCCACCTGTCAGGTCCTTCTTCCAGCAACCAGGAAGAGTCGGATGACGACGACGGCGAACAACGAGACAATGCTGGTTCAGCAGAGCCGCCCTCGCCTCCGAAGCGCTCGGTCGATGCATCGGAGACCGAATCTGAAGATACCCAGCAGCACAAGCAGGAAGAGTCAAGTTCCAAGGGCAGCTTGTTCTCACGGATCACCAGGGATAACGATTCCGAGGCAGAGAAGGAGAACAGTGGCGCCTCTTCTCTGTTTGGGCAGAGTAACGGTACTACAACTCCTTCCAACAAACCTTTCCAGTTCTTCGATTTCGGTGCTGCGTCCAAGACCGCGCCGCCAAAGACCGACACATTTGCCGGCGATCAGACTTTCAAGGCGGGTACTCCGATCAAGTTTGGCGGAGCTCCTGCTACTGAGAAGAAGGACGCTGCACCCAAATTCAACTTCCAGCCTGCTACGCCTGGTGCTGGCGAGTTCTCCACAACGCCGGCGAAACCACCACCCAGCTCGATCTTCAACTTCGCTCCCTCCACAGGTGGATCTTCGCTTTTCGCTCCATCAGGCGGCAACTCTGTGACCTCGTCTGTATTCTCTTCGCGCGCAAACACGCCTCTCTCTGAAGCTGGCGATACCAGTGCCGCGTCTGCAGCAGAAGATGACGAAGAGGGCGGCAAGCAAGAACAGATCGACTTGACCAAGTTGACTGAAGATGAGCTCAATACTTACGACATTGTCTTCCACACCGAAGTCGTACTCGCCAAGCACCAGGAGGGAGAGAAGGGCTGGACAAACATAGCAAAGGGCCCGCTCTGGATCCTCAAGGACAAGCAGACGGGCAAGTGCTCTGTGCGTGTGCGCATTCCGAGTGGTGCCACCCCGGTCAACTACCAGATCCTACCTGCGCTGCCTGCCACCGTCACTGGCGGTAGCAAGAAGATGGTCATGGCGACCAAGCCTGCCAAGGAAGGCGGACTCCAGTCTGTTCTTTACGCAGTCAAGACACCTGAGATTGCACAGGAACTCGCAGCGAAGTACACAGAGTGTGTACCTAAATCGCAGTAAGCGAACTTGTCCATGTCGACATTCGTACCCATCCTACGAACCGTGGGGTTGAGCGTCTAGTTCATCACCTGCATCCACGGATTCGATCACTTTGTTTGCATTAGTTTGTCCACCTTACCCCTGTTTCCGTTGACACCTCCATACATCTGTACCTATACATTCCCACAAGATTGGCGACATTGTTTGTTTTTCCCCCAGCGACTACCTTCTTCATTCCCCCTTTACTTCGGGCTTGTTGGAACATCATCACAGAGAGATGAACATTGCATAGTAATGGCGTTGGTGGCAAGGAGCCCCTCTTGATTTGTTCTTTTATGCGAAGCGACGATGGATGGAAAAATGGGATCTTGATCTTCATGTAGTATACTATGAGCCTTCTTCCTTAATATGCATAAGCGCATTAGTCGCGCGATCTTCCGAACACATTTTGGAGACGTTCACATGCATGACTACGTGTAACTGTGGTGCTTCCACTGACTGAGGGGGTAACCACTACCGTGGACTCAGATCATAGTTGCTTCGCACAGCCCCGCAAGCTGGCCCCGGGTCCTCTGCCTCCACTTCCCCTTTCGCTATTTTCTCTTCCAGGATTCTTCGTTCCTCGTTGAATCGATCTATCTCTGCCATACGCTCGTTCTTCGTACTTGGAGGTGGTAAGACACCAGGGAGTGGATTGAACCATTGTCTAGAGAAGATATCAGCTTATTGCCACGTCATGCAGCAACACTTACTCTTTCGGCGTATTCCTGCCGTCCACGCCACGAAAGCGATCTTCAGTCGTCTGACTCCAGTCGTGTCGATCAAGGTACGCCTTCAACAGGAACGGTGACATGGGCTGTGCATCATAGACCTCTATGCCATTTGGCTCGTCATCCGGTGCTGGCATCCTACGGAGGGTCCTGCAGATGCCGTCGCAGCCTATTTGGCGGAAGCACTTGAGATCTGCTGGGCGCTTCATCGTTGCGGAGAACTCGGCGAGCGCAGCTCTGGCCTTGGACGGGTCTGCAGGGCCCGCTTCGTGGACGCCGGCCTTCTATGGATAGGGTTAGGTTTGCCTGTGTTGAACATCTGGTTGGTTGGCCTACGCTCTGTTCAGGCGATGATGAACCTTGTACCTGCGGGGGTGGATGAGGTTGTGGTGCAGACATGCTGGTATGTAAGATTATCGATGCTGTTGAACGCAGAGATGAGGGGCGTTGCTGTGCATGTATGTATTATAGCCTGCGTGAACAACGGTGATCAGGCTAATACCAGTGTAATGCTGACCTTGAGAAGAAGTTCTAGGCTGCGAGTTGAAGTTATTGCGGCACAGGCGCACAAATGAGGGGATTGTATTGGCTTTATGTGGGCAGTGCTTACTTTCTTGCTGAGTATGACGTAAATGGCAGTACGGGTAAACTACCTTGTGCATGTTTGCATCAAGTAGCTACCTGATCGCGACGAGACAATGTCATACAAGTATTCGCAAGTTCGCTGGCATGCATACACGAAGATACACTTCCTGTACCATACTACTTGGCCTTCCTTCCTTGCTCATCTCGTCTCCTCACTCCCGCAATGAAGCTCTCAGTTGTGGTATACGCCAGTGCGTTTTTCCTCTTCTCAACAGCCACGCAAGAACAAGTGAGTGCATCTAGAAACACCCACGCATCATGCGTATACTCTTGTACTGAAGCAAACGCTGTAGTCTCTCCGCGAAGTACTCCGATCTCTCAATACAGAAACAAACGGTATGACCATGCTAGGACAAGACGGAGTCCTTCGGAGGCTCAACCCTGCTCACGACACTGTCATGGACTACGTTCAACTCTCGCCACGGCACCTAGCCGAGTACGTCGCAAAGTACCCACCCGAGGCGCGTGAAATGTGGGCGGGTATCGATGGACGCGCAGTTACGTCTGAAGCACAGCTGTGGGCTGTCCCGAACGACGTCATGCCCCGAGACCCAAGCGCCTTGGTTACTGTACCGCATACCAGTTCGCTGTTGAAGAAGCAGGAGAACAGCTGCCGAATATGGACCTGTACAGAGGACGATGAGTGCAAGGCTGAACACCCCGGATGCAATTCATGCGATGAATACTATGAGTGTGTTGGGGGATCAGGAAGTTGTTCCAGGCTCGTTAGGTGCGATGATACTTTGCCTAGCATCGAGTGAGCAGCTGAATCTGTCACTCACAACGATGGTATTACTATGTCTAAGTAGCTTTGTCTTCGTGCGGTGTTAGGAGCGTGTATAGCACCTCATACAAGAAAAATACCGAACGGGTCTAGAGCCTACATCGACGTTAGATCTCCTACTTTGCATGTTTTTATGTTAATGTAGGCTGTAACCACAAAACCGTAGGCTGCAGACCTGTTCAGTGTTTCCCTATGTTAACGTGGAAGGGTACTGCGAGTGTGTTGCATACGTCGATGATCTGGGAAATGCCTTGATTCGGCCCTGCTTCGCGGAATTGGGTATATACTCGGGACCAAAACAAATTACCTACAGCCAATCTTCCCCTTCCCCTCAAAGAAACGGCTCAAATTACTCCAAAACCCTACTCTCTCCATTCTTCATACCCTGAAAGTGCACATCTTCAAAGACATCGCCATCTTGTGCTCTGGCCTCCTTCAACGCATCTTCCACTGTCCATACTTTTCTGCGTAGGAACCAGCTTATTAGCCCTCCTCCCTTTTTCACCTCATCATGTGTCGCGACCCAGTACTTTGCTCGGAGTATGCGTTGTGCGAGGATGCCGTTCTTCGCACCGAGGTTGAGCTGCTGGGCAGAGGATATAGAGACATCGTGGAGGCCGTGTAGGAAAGCGAGGGTGTGTAGTGGTGGGTCGGCTGTAGCGATTGGGCTGAGGGCTTCGTGGGGGATGCCGTGTGGTGTGTAGATGACACATTCCGCTTCTTCGCCGTTGATGTTAGACGATAGTTCTTCCGCTCCATCGCCATTTATACTAAGTGTAGAGAGACGCTTCTTAGGCGTCGCTGTCGACAGGAAGGGATGCGTGGCGAAGGTTATTAGGAGCGCGGAGTGGAGGTAAAGAGAGTCGCCGGACGCTGTAAGTCGCGATATGCTGAGCCATGAGGGGAGCGGCGAAAGACTGTAGTCGTGCCAGTCGGAGTGGTCGGCGAAGGTGGGTGTTGTTATCACGGTGCGAAAGTGGTTCCAAGAGGATATGAGGTTGGCGGCTTGCTGTGATGCTTGTTAGCCCAGGACCCTTCATCTCTTCGTATGAGAACATACCTCTGTCGCGAGCACGGGCACATCACGATGAACCTCCAAAAGCGTCTCTTTATGGCAGTGGTCGGTGAATTCATGGCTGACAGCCACACAGTCCACATAACTCTCCTCGTCTACCTCTTCCACCTTCCTCTTTTTGCTTCTTCCTCTGCCTAGTCGCAGTCCTCCAGCCATTATTTCCACCTGCCGTGCTAACTCCTCCACCTCAGCGATACTCTTCACAGCGCTCTCCGTCGCGTGGAATTGCTGGCTGAACCATTTTGCGACATCGCTCTGCCCACCGACGAACCACGGATCTATCAAGACATTGTAGTATACCCGGCTCCCGTGTTTGACGGCATTTGCTGGACGCGGTATCTGAAGAAGCCAAGACGAATCGGCGTTCAGGTGGTGGAGGATGGGCCGGCGCGTTGCGAGCGCGCGAACGACGGCGTCGCGAATCTCGAGGTGGAGTTGTGAAGATGGCTCATCCATGTTTCGTGTGTGTCGTGATGTGTTCGCGCTGATTCTACGGTTGCGCTAGATGGACGCGCCGGATTTGCGCATTTCAGGGCGACATCTGGCGCGTTGAATGTCGATACAGATGCGACGAAAGGGCGCTAGTGGAGGCTGGGGAAATCGTGGCGATGACGCACGGGCGACAAGGAAGGCCCTCGTTGCTTCACTCCATCGTCACAACTTCAGCCTTGCGATATTTGGGCAGTCACCTCACGACTGCTTTTTGCATCTGTGTCAACGACTGCATTGGGTTATTCTGGTCTTGGAGCGACGATATTATCACATGGGCCCGGCCATAAGGATGGTTCCTCGATCGAATGAGTCTTCGTCGCCCATCAACTTTACCGCAATCTTCGCGCCAAAATCCAGGACGGGAAGGTTTTGTTCCCATCAGAACTGCGAAAGTCGAGTTTTCTGGTCTGTTTCTTGGTGCAGATTCTTACGCTCTGTATAACGAAACCACAACTGGTCGCATCCTTATGGACTCACGGACTACCATTTCGATGATATGGCTAGCTCTGTTACATGTCTAGGACCGAAGACGCAAAAGGACGTCGACCCGAGTTACCGTTGATGGCACTTTGTGGGAGACTTTCTCTTGAACTTTTCATCTCTCTCATCTGATGGAAGCTTGTAGGCATCATCAGTGTCATTGATATTGAGTTTGCAAGAGACGGAAAGAACGGGGATCAGCAAACCGATGACTGACCAGAAGTTGCAGTCCAATGCCAAAAAGCCACTACACCCCCCTTCCACCAGCTATGTCAAACGCTTGTCGCGCTGAATGGCGCGCCATCCTCTCCACTTTCTGCCGTAAGGCATTACCCTATGGAGGTATTCTACTGACCTCTCTCGATCTTCCTGGCTAATTTGATCGCTGAAGAGAATGTGAACTCAAGCCATCTCCTAGTGTTTTTCTTACTAGTCCACTTGTTGAGTCCCGCGTACTTTGTCTAGACTTGCCGTCCAGCCGATAAAATTCAGCGAGTATTGGCTACACCCTAGCACATACAAGTCTTTGCTACAACCGATGACAACGAACAGTGTTTATCCAGGCCATCGCGTGCAGTCATCCATCCCGCTCTATCGACTAGCCGAACAAGTCTCTCAACATGAAAGCTTGCTTGGATGAGTAAGTACTGAGCATGTCGGCGCCAAATGTCGGTCATTCGTCGCATACCTAGATATACGGCGTCAAGCCCAGTGTCTTATCGCAGGATTCGACGGAAGCTATCATGCGCGCATTTCACGATGCATAATCGTGGGT